GTGACAGTGGATCTATGTCCTAGAGAGACGGTCCAGGCCTCCCCTTCACACACGGTGGTAGTGACAGTGGATCTATGTCCTAGAGAGACGGTCCAGGCCTCCCCTTCACACACGGTGGTAGTGACAGTGGATCTATGTCCTAGAGAGACGGTCCAGGCCTCCCCTTCACACACGGTGGTAGTGACAGTGGATCTATGTCCTAGAGAGACGGTCCAGGCCTTCCCTTCACACACGGGGGTAGTGACAGTGGATCTATGTCCCGTAGAGACGGTCCAGGCCTCCCCTCCACACACGGGGGTAGTGGCAGTGGATCTATGTCCCGTAGAGACGGTCCATGCCTCCCTTTTACACACGCGGGGTAGTGGCAGTGTATCTATGTCCCGTAGAGACGGTCCAGGCCTCCGCTTCACACACGGGGTAGATCTAAAGGTAGTGGATCTGGGCTTTGTAGCTGCACGCCTTACTTCTCGCACATAGTTGTGTCTACCACCGCTAGTGGCGGTCAGGTTAAGCTACAGATGCTAGGTAATAATTAACTGAAGATGAAACCACGTGCTGCAAACTACCCGCCAGCGCGTCTGCGTCCGGCGCACGTGCCGACAGCCACCGCCGATGCTGGCGCCCTCTACGGCAAGGCGGCGTTTGCGTCTGACCTAGTTTTTTGGTCGGCGGCGGCGCGTATATTTTATGGGGGTATTTGCGGCGGCCTCTCATCACCGCAGCAGATATATAGGCGCACGCAATTAATCTTCACCCGCTCTCTGCAATCTGCCGTGGGTGCCAGATACCCAATTTACCGGCGGGTGGGGGTGGGGGGAGGCAGCGAGGCGAAGAGAGCGTCGGCGCGCTTACAGACTGGTTTGCCCCGGCAGCTGGAGTGAAGCCATGTGTCAATCGTCATCATCCGCATCTTTAACGCGTCACCGTCACCGAGAACTGAGGGATGCTGGGCGTGCCTGGGGGATGGCTGGATGATGCTGGGGGGTTCTGGGGAAGCTGGGGATGCTGGAGGATGCTGGATATATTGGGGGATGCTGGGGATGCCTGGGGGATGCTGGGGATGCTAGGGATGCTGGGGATGCTGGGAGATGGCTGGAGGATGCTGGAGGATGCTGGGGATGCTGCGGGATGCTGGAGGATACCGGGGGACGCTGGGGATGCCTGGGGGAGGCTGAGGGATGCTGGGGATGCTGGGGGATGCTGAGGGATGCTGGAGATACTGTGGGACGCTGGGGATGCCTGGGGGATGCTGGGGGTGGCAAGGGATGCTGGGGGATGCTGGGGATGCTGAGGGATGCTGGGGGATGCTGGGGATACCGGGGGACGCTGGGGATGCCTGGGGGATGCTGGGGGTGGCAAGGGATGCTGGAGGTGCTGGAGGATGGCTGGGGGAGGCTGGGGGACGCTGGGGATGCCTGAGGGATGCGGGGGGTGGCAAGGGATGCTGCGGGATGCTGGGGATGCTGAAGGATGCTGAGGGATTCTGAGGGATTCTGAAGTAAGGGATGCTGAGGGATGCTGAGGGATTCTGGGGGAGGGATGCTGCGGGATGCTGGGGATGCTGGGGATGCTGAGGGATGCTGAGGGATTCTGGGGGTAAGGAATACTGTGGGTAAGCAATGCTGAGAGATGCTGAGGGATGCTGAGGGATTCTGGAGGTAAGGGATGCTGACGGATGCTGAGGGATTCTGGGGGATAAGGGATGCTGAGGTAGAGAGAGAGAGAGAGAGAGAGAGAGAGAGAGAGAGAGAGAGAGCGAGAGACAGAAAAGGGGGAGGTGGAAGCTAAGAATAAGCGTATACACGGCGTTGAGCGATAAGATTGTACGATCATGTTGTGACCATTACATTATTCTCTGACTAAAATAATTTCGCGTAATCATTCTTAGAATCGCGAAGCAGCACCGTTACGTTCCGCTGCAAGGAATCGGAGAGCCGCGCGCTCCAACCGATTTTCAGTCGACTTTCTAAATCTGATCGCTAGACTATTATGGCAAGGAAATCATGCTTTAGATTCACGACGAGAGTTTTCTCAGAAAGCGCGCAGCTACAGTTTCGAAGATTTCATTATGCGTCGCATCGCATCGTGTTTAACCAGCGCTGGCGCTTTCATTTGCGCCGTGACCGCGCTTCTGTGAGCGTCGAAAACGTGCGTGCGGCCAAAACTATTTACGGCGCGCGAGTGGTGTACATAATTCAAGGAAATCGGAAATGCTATATGAGGCTCTCTGCAGAACACGTTATATCACTGTGCCTAACAATGGTTTCACTGAAGCCACACGCCAGAGCCTTATATATGCTTAATCTCTGGACAAAGAACTAATTGTACCTTAATATAATTGTTTTGTGCGTCATGA